TTTGTCTTGAAAATAAGTGAAGTATATAAAACACATTTCATAAAGAAGTACGTCAGATCAAATGTAATATAGGTCGTATGTCATCTTTTTGAAATGTTATACTATGACTTTTTTATATTGCTCTACATGCTGTACTATGACTGTTCACATCTTATGTTAAACAAACTATACTACAGCTTTATTTCTAACAACTATACCATTACTTTTTAGTCCAGAAATTCCATACTATGACTTTTAAAAGTTGTTCACAACATATTAGATCAGGGATGGGCAACTTTGATGGTGGTGGGGGCCACATAATTGATGTACTGGCCTCCAGGGGGCCGCAGATTCACTTGGAACACACACACACACAAATTCCATGTATTGTATGCAATTATTAACCAATTAAGTCTGACATCTTCATTGACATTTTACAATCTTTCAGGGAACATCCTCTAATAAGCTCACTAAACAAATATCAGTTCACAGAAATGTCATTTAACAGTGGAATAAAACTATTTTAAACTATTGGAAAGCACGGGAAATGTGTGTGCATTGAGATTAACCATTAAGATGACATAAACATGAAGTCATGAACACTACCCAGACATTAGTTGTCTAACTTGAACCTAGCTAAGACACTTGTAGCCAGTCTCTGCATCAACACAGACACCTGTCAACCCGCACTCTGCTGTTCCTCAGCGCCGCTCCCCCTCCCTCCCTCCCTCTGAAATTATGAACGAAAAGCGTATAGTAATCATAGATAACACGGCAGGGTCCGTGACAGTTTGTTTGCATCTGATTTCAAATAAACAAATTCTTGGTATATATAATAATAATAAATGTAATAATTATAATAAAATGAATTATTTAATATATTTATTACAGTGTTTATTTATTATTTGTATGTATTCCTGCATTCATTTATTCCTATATTATTTTGTTAATTTATTCCTGTATTATTTTGTTAATTTATTCGTGTATTATTTTGTTAATTTATTCCTGTATTATTTTGTTAATTTATTCCTGTATTATTTTGTTAATTTATTCCTGTATTATTTTGTTAATTTATTCGTGTATTATTTTGTTAATTTATTCCTGTATTATTTTGTTAATTTATTCCTGCATCTATTTGATCATGCCTGTGTGAGATTTGAACCCTATTTTGTAGTCAGGTAGTGGACCTACAGTCCTTGACTCTAACCTCTAAGCTATTTTGTCTCACAAACTTTCTCGGTGAATCCCAGACTGAAGTATGCATCATTCACTAGAAAGTGCTGTGTGTTTTGAGGCTCAAACGTGAGATGGAGATGTCAAATATGCAAAGGAACATCCAACTCTCTCAGGTCAAATGGCTCAGGGTGATAAGAATGACGGTTGGTAGCCTAGAGGTTCTTGGTTCGAGTCTTGTGCGTTCCAGATAGATTTTAAGGCGTCTTCACCTTAAAGAAGAAGTCAAATACAAGTAAAAGCCGAGAGTTCTCATCTGCTCCAATGGCTCACAGAGATAGAACAATGGTTGGTAGACCAGAGGTTATTGGTTCCAGTCTTGTGCGTTCCAGATAGATTTTAAGGTGTCTTCACCTTAAGGAAGAAGTCAAATACAAGTAAAAGCCGAGACTTCTCATCTGCTCCAATAACTAAGAAGTTAGTATCCTATTGAATAGGAAACTTCCTTAATTAAGAAAGTTAGTATCCTATTCACTCCCCCCCTTCGGGGGGGAGTGAATAGGATACTAACTTACTAACCCCCGAAGGGGGGGGGGAGTGAATAGGATACCAATAGGAAGCTTCCTTAATTAAGAAAGTTAGTATCCTATTCACTCCCCCCCTTCGGGGGGGAGTGAATAGGATACTAACTTTCTTAATACTAACCTTCCCAACTGTACCAACATAGGAACAATAGGATACTAACTGTAAACACGCACAAAATCTATCTGGAACGCACAAGAATGGAACCAACAACCTCTGGTCTACCAACCATTGTTCTATTTCTGTGAGCCATTGGAGCAGATGAGAACTCTTATCTTTTACTTGTATTTGACTTCTTCCTTAAGGTGAAGACACCTTAAAATCTATCTGGAACGCACAAGGCTTGAACCAATAACCTCTAGTCTACCAACCATTGTTCTATTTCTGTGAGCCATTGGACCAGATGAAGAAGTCTCAGTTTTTACTTGTATTTGACTTCTTCCTTCAGGTGAAGACACCTTAAAATCTATCTGGAACGCACAAGACTCGAACCAAGAACCTCTGGTCTACCAACCATTGTTCTATCTCTGTGAGCCATTGGAACAGATGAGAACTCTTATCTTTTACTTGTATTTGACTTCTTCCTTAAGGTGAAGACACCTTAAAATCTATCTGGAACGCACAAGGCTTGAACCAATAACCTCTGGTCTACCAACCATTGTTCTATTTCTGTGAGCCATTGGACCAGATGAAGAAGTCTCAGTTTTTACTTGTATTTGACTTCTTCCTTCAGGTGAAGACACCTTAAAATCTATCTGGAACGCACAAGACTCGAACCAAGAACCTCTGGTCTACCAACCATTGTTCTATCTCTGTGAGCCATTGGAACAGATGAGAACTCTTATCTTTTACTTGTATTTGACTTCTTCCTTAAGGTGAAGACACCTTAAAATCTATCTGGAACGCACAAGGCTTGAACCAATAACCTCTGGTCTACCAACCATTGTTCTATTTCTGTGAGCCATTGGACCAGATGAGAAGTCTCGGTTTTTACTCGTATTTGACTTCTTCTTTAAGGTGAAGACGCCTTAAAATCTATCTGGAACGCACAAGACTCGAACCAAGAACCTCTGGGCTACCAACCGTCATTCTTACCACACTGAGCCATTTGACCTGAGAGAGTTGGATGTTCCTTTGCATATTTGACATCTCCATCTCACGTTTGAGCCTCAAAACACACAGCCCTAGCACTTTCTAGTGAATGATACATACTTCAGTCTGGGATTCACCGAGAAAGTTTGTGAGACAAAATAGCTTAGAGGTTAGAGTCAAGGACTGTAGGTCCACTACCTGACTACAAAATAGGGTTCAAATCTCACACAGGCATGATCAAATAGATGCAGGAATAAATTAGCAAAATAATACAGGAATAATACAGGAATAAATTAACAAAATAATATAGGAATAAATAAATGCCTGAATACATACAAATAATAAATAATACATTTTATTATAATTATTACATTTATTATTATTATATATATCATTATTTATTCCTGTGTGTATTTATTATTAAATAATACATAAACACAGGAATAAATGTATTAAGTAATAAATAAACACTATAATATGTTGTGAACAACTTTTAAAAGTCATAGTATGGAATTTCTGGAATAAAAAGTAATGGTATAGTTGTTAGAAATAAAGCTGTAGTATAGTTTGTTTAACATAAGATGTGAACAGTCATAGTACAGCATGTAGAGCAATATAAAAAAGTCATAGTATAACATTTCAAAAAGATGACATACGACCTTTATTACATTTGATCTGACGTACTTCTTTATGAAATGTGTTTTATGTACTTTACTTATTTTCAAGACAAACTATACTGACTTTTTTCAAGTGTAACTTTAAAAAAAATGTTGTGACTACTATTGTTACTTTTGAATAATTACATAGTTAAGTGTGACTTTTTTAAATAAACATTTTGTGCCTTACTAAACTAACTTATTTCCATACGCTGCTGTATTATTACTTTTACTTAAGTATGAGATGCGAGTATTTTCGTAGACAGATAAAAATAATGGGCAGATCATGAGTTGTCGTCTCATCCAAGACAACTGCACCTGAAAAGCCTTGAACCCACAGCCTGCAGTCTCACGGTCAGTCTTCTATCCCTCTGAGCCATCTGACCTGAGAGATAAGCCTTTCATTTAGTAAGCTCATTACATAGTGCAAACGGTCAGAGTTAAGTATCTAGAAAAGACTCATTTATTGTATCCCCTAATTGAGCTCAATGTTTACATTACCCGTATTTCTCGATGCTTTTCTAGTTGGTCACCTTTCCTATCTTGGAACTCTATTTATTCTACTTTTCACCTATTTTGTTGGCCTATTTTATTTGTCTATTTTGGACCTATTTTATTAGCTACCTTGCCTCTAGTAGACTCGAACCCCGCACATGCTAAGCAGCGGATCTGTTCTCGGCACTTAGGCGCCTCAGTGCGCACTAAGGCGCCTAAGTGCCGAGAACAAACCCAGATAGCCACCAACTCATGTACATGAAACCCTATTCTCTGGGCGCATTTATCCTCTTCACTTTGAGTAAAGCTCTTTAAAAATCACTGAGCATCACGAGGATTCGAACACACAACCTCAGGTCTTCTGACCCGTCACATATCCCTCTGCGCCATCTGACCTGAGACATCCTTGTTTCGTAGAGCTTATGACCTGCTCATTTGGCTTTTTGGACCTTAAAGATGACGATGTCGATTTTTTATGAAAGACGCAACAAAATAATCGGAAAAAATATGTTATGCCATAATAAGGCACGGTATAGTGTGTAGACACCAGGCGTGGTATTTTATTTCGTAATAAATGACTGAAAAGTCATAATATAGCATGTTGAAAAAAATGACAAAAAAGTCATAACCCTAACCAATGTCGGAGGAAACATCGTATTTAACGTGGAAATAAGGCACGGTTTAGTGCGTAGAAACAAGGCGTAGTATAGTATGACGATAACGATGACAGAAAAGTCATAATATAGCATTTAAAAACATTTGAAACGACATAGTCGATATATGTCGAATGTATATCGATTTAAAAAAAAAAGATGCAACAAAATAATCGAAACAATTATTTGATGCCATAATAAGGCACGGCATAGTGTGTGGATACCAGGCGTGGTATTTTATTTTGTTAAAAATGACCGAAAAGTCATAATATAGCATGTTGAAAAAAATAACCCTAACCAATGTCGGAGAAATGCTAAAAGAAAACATCGTACAGTATGTCGAAAATATCAGAAAGGTCATAGTATAGTACCGTAAGTCCTTCAGAAACTCAAGAATCCACCGTCTTTTGATGTCAGATGAATGTCCTCGCAGTCCTGTGGGGAGAAGAGAAGAAAAAGAGACCATGAAGTCTGTATAGTATGTCTAAAATGTCAGTAAAAACTACAAAGTAGAATGTGTCGAAAATATCAGAAGAAATTACATAGTATATAGTATGTCAAAAATATCAGAAAAGTCATAGTATAGTACCGTAAGTTCTTCAGGATCTCAAGAAGCCACCGTCTTCATTGATGTCAGATGAGTGTCCTCGCAGTCCTGTGGGGAGAAAAGAAGAAAAAAACACCAGGAAGTCAGTATGTGGAAAATATCAGAAAAACCTTCTGGTTTAGTGTCAAAAAATCCAGGAAAAACAACATAGTATAGTATGTCCAAAATGTAAATACAAATAGCATAGTATACTATGACTATGTTGGAAATGGTCATAGTGTAGTATTTTGGAAATATCAGAAAAGTCATAGTATAGTACAGTGGCGTTGGCAGATATCAAAGAGTGGGTGGGCCCAGCCCGTTCAAGACCACACATACTTAATATGTCCTAAAACGCATGTTAACTGAAATAAGCCAGTCAGAATGGACCTCCTTGAGTTCTCCGATTGGTTGGTTTTGTGGCACATTTGTAACGCTGTGCCAACTTGAGCGAGCACAGGGTGGAGAGGGAGAGAGAGCGCGTGCAGCGGTCTGCTTGTGCGCGGAGCAGGAGTTTGTGAGAGGGCTTAGAGTAAATTGTGCTTGCAAAATTAAATTAAATTCGCCCGCCGCTCAATAACATTTTCTATGCTCAAAATGTTTCATTGCATGCTCAGGATAGAGGCACAAAAATAACGCCATAGACGAGAGCCCGAAGTACACGATTCATTTGAGGGAAAATGTCAATGGGACATGAGTCGAGCAACTCCACGAGTGATGGGAAGGTTATGCCCGCTGTCACCTTTCTCTTTAGCTGCTGAACAAACACTTTGTGTTCTGCAACTTCCACACAGATGGGAAAGTGTGTGTGTGTGTGTGTGTGTGTGTGTGTGTGTGTGTGTGTGTGTGTGTGTGTGTGTGTGCTGAATTCATTAATTGTCACCAAAGGTAGACCGAGGCAACAATGCAGCAGCGGCTCTCATAAACCCGTATGTGTCCGCCTTAAAACGAGTGTCCAGTTCCATAATCTGCCTGTCAAGCACATGATTCTAAATGTTGTGTAGGTCCTTTACAGGGGAGGCTTTGCCCAGGGTGGATTCACTTTGCCTATCGCCAAACTCTCCTAGCAACCTCCTCTTTCGCGACCCAGTGACGTCCCAGTTAAGGATGTCGTGTTTTTTTATCAAATCATCTTTCAGTGTCACAAGTTTAATGAAGTCAGCTTCTGTTTTCCTCAATGTAGTATAGTTTTCCTTAGGACCCTCGATTAGATCGATGCAATCTGTGACTGTTATAGTGGAACATTGCAGGCCTTTTGTTGCGTAGTCGCTCATTTCGGGGCTTGTAAGTTTCCCGTTCACCGGCAGGTCGTCCAGTCGCCGTTTTATTTCTGGGTCATAGTGAGAGATCATAAATCTATCGATTAGATTTATGATTCGAAAATGATAAAAGTAGGGTAGACATGTGGATATTATCCGGCTGAACAAAACGTGCATTTATCAAACAGGTTGGTTTCCCACAGATCTTATTTCGAGCTATTTTCCAAGATCCTATGGAGAAATCTCATGGCTTTTTTGCCGAGGGAAGCCGAGCGCGGCTTTTAGGACGCGTCACTGCACCACTCTATATCTGAATTTGTAAAGAAGTAAGATACAATGATTTTCGAAAAATAAAAAAGTATTGAAAGTACATTTACAATACGCTACATTCACTGGCTGCTGTGACAGATTTTCCAGATCATTTTCCAGCTTTTTTTCCAGCTACGCGTATGGTATAGTGGCTTCTTCAGAAACTCAAGAAGCCACCGTCTTCGTTGATGTCAGGTGAATGTCCTCGCAGTCCTGTGGGGAGAAAAGAAGAAAAAGACACCATGAAGTCAGTATAGTAGGTACTGACTATAGAATGAACATATCAGAAAAGACGTCATAGTATATATGAAACAAGTTGTATAGTAGGTCAAAATGAACATACAAAAAGTAGATTAATAGTATTATGTATAGTATGCCTCTACTAAAAGGAGGGGAGGCCACCTTATTAAATATTTATAGACCCATCTCTACATTGTCAGTTCTGGCCAAGGTTCTTGAAAGCCTAGTGAGTGAGCAGGTAAAGGAGTTTTTAAGTAACAATGACATCCTATGTAAACATCAGTCAGGCTTCAGAAAGCAACAGAGCACCATCACTGCCACAATGAAAGTGGTGAATGATATTGCTAATATCTTAGACAAAAAGCAGAGTTGTGCAGCTCTGTTTATTGATCTTGCCAAAGCGTTCGATACCGTCGATCATCATATCCTGAAGCAGAGGCTACTCAGTATCGGCATATCCAGCCATGCAGTGGGTGGTTTGTGAACTACTCTCTGAAAGGTCCCAATGTGTTCACTTTGATGGGCTGTCTTCTGAGTGGTTAAACATTGCTAATGGTGTTCCACAAGGTTCTGTTTCAGGTCCACTTTTATTCTCCATCTACATCAACAGCTTAGGTGAAAATGTGGATGGAGCAACTTTACATTTGTATGCTGATGATACCGTGATGTATGGTGCAGGTCCCTCCAATAAGGAGGCTGCTGTTAAATTACAGGCTGTTTTTAACATTATTCAGACGCAGCTCTCTGAACTTAAGCTTCTTTTAAATGTTGATCAAACTAAGGTAATGCTATTTTCGAAAGCCAAAAAGACACCGGAGACCACTTTGGATATTGTTACTACGCAATGAAAAATACTTGAAGTTGTTGCCTGTTATAAATACCTTGGTATCTGGCTTGATGGTTGCCTCTCTTTTAAACTTCAGGTCAATAACCTGCTTAGAAAGCTGAGGGTGAAGCTAGGCTTCTTTTTCAGGAACAAGTCCTGTTTCTCACTTGAGGCCAGGAAAAGGCTCTGTGACCTTTTGACCTGTGCTCGACTATGGTGATCTGATCTATATGAATGCACCAACCTGATCAAGTTAGATGCCGCCTATCACAGCGCACTGACATTTGCTACTAACTGTAAAGTATTAACTCATCACTGTACCCTGTATGCCAGGGCAGGTTTGCCTTCACTCACTGTACGGAGGCTCAGTCACTGGTACATGTTCATCTACAAAGCCATGTTAGGTAAACTACCATCTTCCATCTTCTGTCTGATCACACGGAGAGTTGAAAGTAGCTATTGCCTGAGATCTCATGCTGTGGTTTTGTTAAATGTGCTAAGTGCTAGGACTGACTTATGTGCGCAGCTCCTCTAACTTGGAACAGTCTGCAAAAAGAATGGAAACTGAGCAATTTGATTCTACTGCATGTTTTTAAAGCTTGGATAGATGCTATGTAATCTGATACTGTTGGTACCTGTACATGTCGTTAGCTATGCACATTGTAACCCTGTAACTATGCTGTATGATGTCCTTTTGTTTTTCTGTTGTTTTATGTTTTTATCTCTTCTTGTGTAACCGAATTGCTGCAGGTCTCCCTTGAAAAAGAGATCGATGATCTCAATGGGATTCACCTGGTTAAATAAAGGTTTTAAATGAAAAAATGAGCTCCTCCTTGACCAGTTGTGATTAAAACACATCAATAATCATGTATATATATTAGGGCTGTCAAGTACGCGTTAACGCAATTTTTTTTTAACGCCACTAATTATTTTAACGCGATTAACGCATGTGTATTTTTTTTCCTCGGCCGCCCCGTAGTTTCAGAGCGCATCGAGTTTAAAATACCATCTACAAGCTGATGCTGACAGCCCCGCTCCTGCCGCCCGCTTGCGGCAGACCACACTTCCACGCTCACCGGCAGGCACCAACTGGCCATCGGGAGGACCGGGAGGGTGTGTGTATGTGTGGCCCGAGCGAGCGAGAGAGAGACCTTACGTGCATTGTTGTTGTTAGCATCTGGTGCTAGCTAGCTGCGCTAACGGATATTAGAAGCTGTTTAAATGAAAACAGATGAGCGACATTTCGCCACAACTGCGCCGAGCACTTGACTTTATGCAGGAAGCCAGACAGTGGGACATTGTACGAGAAGTCAGCACACTCAGCACGGATAGTGCGCAACATGATTGCAGCGTCCAGGCAGCTCCCGTTAGAGCATATGCCTTGAGTTGCACATAGCTCCAACGATCACACACACACACACACACACACACACACACACACACACACACACACACACACACACACACACACACACACACACACACACACACACACACACACACACACACACACACACACACACACACACACACACACACACACACACACATACATACACACACACACACACACACACACATACACACACACACACACACACACACACACACACACACACACACACACACACACACACACACACACACCATTTGTATTGTATTATTGTATGAGAGAGGTTCCAGGTTGAATTGAGGCGAATATTTGTAATGTTCAGAGGTTGTTGTGTTTAATATTCATGAGAATATTTGTCATTGTTCAAATGATAATAAACATTAGCATAAAGCATATTTGTCCACTCATATGTTGATAAGAGTTTTAAAAACTTGAAAAATATTCCTCTAAGGTACATTTAGAACAGATCAAAAATGTGCGATTAATCGCGATTAACTATTTTAATCGACTGACAGCCCTAATATATATATACGATTCTGAAATGGGCCATTATGCATAAGGAGTACTTTTACTTTAGTTACTTTAAGTATATTTTGATGCAGGAGATAAAGTCATTTTAAAATGTAGTATTGCTACTTATAGCATGTGCAGTTAGTGACCACCAGGTGGAGCATTATGCATTAAAACTGCACCCTAACACCACTGCAGACAGAGTATATCTGCTGCTAAACATACAACACAAATGGATTAAATACCTCGACAAACCATGTTTAGGCTAGAGAAAATGTATTAAGAGATTCATGTATGAAGTGATGTGTGTACATTATCAGAGCCTGTAAACCGGAAGTGTTCATCCACTGACAACTACAGCAGCAAACATATCACAGTCCATTAAAAAAAGTATGAAATGTCATGGTACTTCTCACAGTATTTTATTATTTCGAAGTGACCATGACTCGGGTGAATTTGACAATGAGCGGTTTGTTCATTCTGCCGGACTGTAGCAACTGTACCGGCGTTAGCATAGCTGTAAGCTAACACAGCGGGGACGTGTTTGTTTGATTATTTGTTCGCTTATGTGTTTGTTTGCTTATATCTTTCGCTTATGTGTTAGTTTGCTTATTGGTTAAGTTTGTGTGGACGTTTGGCCATTGACTGACCTTTTAAATCACAGGAAACTCTATTTATCGCTGTGTATTCCCTCCAGTCACTCTTCCGTGTGCATCTCGTGAGCTCGCGAAGTTGTTCTGAGCTGTTGCCATTGCGTCATCCGTATCGGTCAGCTGACCTTGGCTATGTAGCGTCTCTGGCCAGCAGGGGGCGGGGCGTCTACGGGTCATACCATCCTGTGGGGGGGCCATGGCAGAATAAACCATCTTCATGTTTAGTTAACAGTGAATTGTGCCTGCTAAAGTTGGGCTACCCATGGCAAATCATTGTTGTCATAGTCTTTGGAAATGGTCTTATTCTCATATAGTTTACTTTATATTTATTGTAAACATTTATTTATAGGCAATAAATGAATGCTGATTTTTTATCTCACATTTTCGACATATTATGCCGTTTTTTTCTTACATTTTTTCCATGGACAAAACATGTTTAAGCAACAGAAAATGTATTAAAATAATTAATGTATGAAATGTGTACATTATCAGAGCCTGTAACCCGGAAGCAAGGCAAGGCAAGTTTATTTATATAGCACCTTTCAACACAAGGCAATTCAAGGTGCTTTACAAAAATGAAAGACATTCAGACAAAGGCATTTAAAAACAGTCATTAAAAAAAAAAAGATAATAAAAGACATGAATAAAAAGTACATGAATAAAAAGTACATGAATAAAAAGTTTCAGTGCAGTTTAAGATGTGAATAGATAAATTAAAAGCAGCGGCGAAAAGAAAAGTCTTCAGCCTGGATTTGAAAGTAGTCAGAGTTGCAGCGGACCTGCAGGTTTCTGGGAGTTTGTTCCAGAGATTTGGAGCATAACAACTGAACGCTGCTTCTCCATGTTTAGTTCTGACTCTGGGGACAGAAAGCTGACCAGTCCCTGAAGACCCGAGAGCAACCATCCAGGCCCAAATGATAGCTTCTCTACAAACAAAACAACATTTGCTACATCCATGAATTGGTGTGATAATTGAATGCAGATACAAATAATAGAGGTGCACAGCTGATATAAAGGGACACCTAGTGGTTAAAGCACGTTATTTAATTTTATTAATTTTATTATTAGATATTAATAGCATCCCTATAAAGTATATTCATTACTCGTTATTCTCTACTAATAGTTAATTAAAGACAGTATATAATGACTATTTTGCACATCCCTTTCAAGATTTCAAGATTTTCTGAGGTTTATTGACATATAATATTATACACAACTGCGGTGTAGTTATGCAATGAATAAAAAACTTGGGTCGCAGGTTCCTCAACAGTGCATTACAAGACATCTATCAATATGTGTGTATACCTCCAGCAATGTGAACTATGTTGAAGCACTCATTTTAACTGATATTATACATATGTATTATACTCTTATAAGATGTATGTAGATAGTATAAGAAATGTGCAGAATATGACAGTTTAATGGTGGAGGTATACACACATATTGATAGATGTCTTGTAATGCACTGTTGAGGAACCTGCAACCCAAGCTCTAAAAGACTCATTGTAATATGAAAGAATATGTACAGTTATAGTATACAAAAACACACTTCTACGATACATCTGTACACATTTTTGAGGATTTATACATGCTATGATTGATAATGAATAAATAAACAAGCGTACTTTTAACGTTGGTACCCAGAACGAGCTGGAAAAGCCAATACACACCTTACCAAACTTCACTTTTGTCAAAAAAAAAACAAGAAGATACAACTTCTTATTCAACAACCAAACAACAGCATACAGCAACTCATGTTTGGTTGGATATTCCTTTTTATATTTGCATTATATTTACTCATGTATTCACTCATTGTTGACTATGTGTTTTAAGCATGTTTTCCCAGTGATTTTCTCTTGGCTGAAAGCTGCCAGCAGGGGGCGCTGAGGGTCACTTTGCCTCTCTTTTCAACCGGAAATTAAACACCGAAGAGAGACCACGTGACTGTTTGTGATTGTCGCTCTCGGTAGCTAGATGGTAAGACATTATTAATTATAACTCTATAAAAGCAAAGTGTAAGAGCATGTTAAAGTTTATTCAGATTAAGAAAATAACACGAGTTTATCTACACAGGATTATAGTTTGCATCAATGATGATTTAAAGAGGCTACTGGACATTAGCTTCATACTGTACATACATGCTACCATACATACATACACACACTTATACATATCGTACATGAAACTTCTCCTCTGCTCTCTACACACACACTCCTACCGCTGTCATGAACACACACACCACGGAGCAGCAGGCCTTAAATGGAAGGCTCACATTTTGCCAGATCTGATTTTCTTCCACTTTTTGATGAAATAAAAGCGATGGATGCTCACATCAGTTGGAGATACTGATGGGTTTATAATGGGGTCACCCACAAAACACTTTTTTAAATCATAGTGTGTTGGAAAATATGGAGAGAAAAGTCGTTGCATGGCATTTTAAAATATGAAAAAGTATAGTGTACTTTTAGAATTTGCTCCACATGTATCCACCCACTGGATGCCAGAAATGCTCCTGTGACTATGATGTGTGTGTATAGCTCCACCTGGTGGTCACTCACTGCACATGCTCTCCCTCCTGTCTGCCGGTCTGTGGCCTCCATCCAGCAGCTGACGCAGCCCTCCACCCTGGGAAAGACTGCTCTGAGCCACATCAGCATGATCAGCTACACCTGGAGGAGCTGATGGAGGAGTGATGGAGCCATCAGCTGTGAGAGGGGGAGCACTGCTGTTCGATCTGCTTCACCTTCTCTTTACAGACACATCAAAACAAACTGTTTCTGTCCATACACATTTTATTGTAATTTAATATCTATATATGTCTGGCATGTATTGTGAATGTGTTTTTAATGTTGATACAGTCACTTCTGCTGCGCTCAGCAGCAGATTGATGCGCTGCAGAGGTTATGATTATGCGGGGGAGAGGTCTGAGGATTTAAACATTAAACTAAATTATTATACTTTTAATATATTTATTATGCAACACCCGCGACCCGACCCGCGAATCACTTTTTTTGCGGGTCACCCGTCGGGTACCCGAACCGATGCAGGACTCTGCTGCACGCGCTCTCTCTCCCTCTCTCTCTCTCTCTCCCTCGCTCAACCTCTCCACCCTGTGCTCACTCAAGTTGGCACAGCGTTGCAAATGTGCCACAAAACCAACCAATCGGAGAACTCAAGGAGGTCCATTCTGACTGGCTTATTTCAGTTAACATGCGTTTTAGGACATATTAAGTATGTGTGGTCTTGAACGGGCTGGGCCCAACCACTCTTTGATATCTGCCAACGCCACTGTACTATACTATGACTTTTCTGATATTTCCAAAATACTACACTATGACCATTTCCAACATAGTCATAGTATACTATGCTATTTGTATTTACATTTTGGACTATGTTGTTTTTCCTGGATTTTTTGACACTAAACCAGAAGGTTTTTCTGATATTTTCGACATACTGACTTCCTGGTGTTTTTTTCTTCTCTTCTCCCCACAGGACTGCGAGGACACTCATCTGACATCAATGAAGACGGTGGCTTCTTGAGTTTCTGAAGAAGTTACGGTACTATACTATGACTTTTCTGATATTTCCGACATACTATACTATGACTATTTATGATGATTTTTTGCATTTTTATATATATTTTCATTCTACTAAACTGACTTCATGGTGTATTTTTCTTATTTTCCCGAACACCGAGTGCAAGTACATCTGACATCAATGAAGACCGTGGCTTCTGGAGATCCTGAAGAACTTACGGTACTATACTATGACTTTTATGATATTTCCGACATACTATGTCGTTAATTTCAAAATGTCTGATAGTACTATATTATACTATGTCATTTTCTATGTTTCTGAAAAACTTGTGGACGTTTTCAGCCTTAGGGACGTATAGCAGACTTAACAGACTATCGATGTGGCTGCAGTGAGAGCCCACAGCCACTTAGCAGACTTAGCCGACTTGGGGCGGTGGCTGGGGGGTGCCGAGCGGCCCCCCCCCAGCCACGTCAGCCCCCCCGATTTAGCAGGCCTACAGACTTAGCAGACTATCGGCAGTGACTGCAGGCCCCGGCACAGGAGTGCACTGAGAGCCGGCAGCCACCTATCGGACGCTTATTAGGCTTAGCCGACTTGGGGACAAGGCTGCACTGCTATGTATGAATAAAATCAATAAATGTGAATAAAGCAAAAGTTTCATAAAATACATTTGTCTCCTTTCTTCATTTCCAGTTCCTAAGATAGTATCCTATTCACTACTCTCTTACTTCCTAACCCCCCGTTCTATTCCCTTAATTAGCATCCTATTAACGTATTCATTACCCCCTTATCCTTATCTACCTACTCTCTGCAACGTATAAGTCTCGAACCAGCAAACTCTGGTCTACCAACCACCCTTCTGTCTCCTTGAGCTATGAGACCTGATGACAGTTCTTTGCTTTTACTTGTATTTGACTTCTTCATCAAGGGAAAGACACATTAAAACTCTGCATGGCACAAGACTCAAACTCCTGGGATCTTTAAACCCAGTGAGGGGGAGGATCCTTATCCAAAAAGATGTTTAAACTATCCACCCCTGGCTTTAACTAAGCTTACATTTCTGTAATCATTACATGCATGCATATGCACTTATTTCATTTCTCTATTTTATTCTCCTATTTTGAACACACACACTGTACAAGTGTTTGGCAGTGGGAATCGAACCCCGACACGTGCGCCTATTATGTGCCGAGGAACAAACCCTGGCGCCAACTACACAAGTACGAGACGTGCTCTTGGTGTATTTGTCTTCTTCATTTTAGGTTGTTGGACGCTCCTCAGAAGACTTGAATTCACAACCTGAAGTCTTCAGACCTGTGTCTCATCTCTCTGAGCCATCTGACCGGACGGGGTACGGAAAGGTTTTTCGTAGTGCCAAGTAGTAAAATCCTCTTTTAATATAAAGGGGGGACCCTTATGTAAACACATTTGTTCAGGACATATCTAAAACTTTTAAAAAAAAAATCAAAATTAGAAAAGAGACATTGTATTTGTATTGTGTTATATTATAACACTGATCAGTGTTGTATCTCTCTGAGCTATTGTGTTAATATAAGGCGGACCCTTATCTTAAAAAAACAAACTATTTTTATATAATGGTATGTCAACAACTTTATTTTTCCTTCCTATATTTCAAACATATTGTTGAAATTAATAACATTGCATGACCAAAAAAGTAATATAGTAATGTTGAAATATTAGTATGTGGAAAAATGTCACGGAAAAAACCATATGTCAAAACAGTTATTCTTTACCCAATGCTCAAACTATTACAAACCTCTGCTGGCACCCCCAGGACTGTTTGGGAATAGCAGGCAAACCTCAGTTAAGAAGAACAAATGAACAGCCTTTCCCTTAAATGGCTGATAAAACTCCACCCACTCTCACATATTCAAACATAAGGTCAGATGTATAAATAAAAAATGAAAGAAACCCCACATGCGTTTCTTAAGGCTTAACTACTTAAACAGCAAAGGAGATCGATGCTCGATATAAAGTGTGGCGTTCCCGTGAAATCTATAAATATATCAATTAGGCTGTGATTTTATCCTCTGGGGAAGGATCACATTGTTTTGAGATACAATGTCAAATACTTATACAGTTAAATGCAAATACATTTTTATCTTTTATATAATGTCAATTTCGTTTTGATATTCTTACTCACTGTGAAAATAAACCATACAAATGATAGACTGTTAATTTCTTTGTAAGTGGGTGAACTTACCGAATCGGCAAGGGATCAGATGTATGAACACATTAATGGTGACACAGCGATAGCTCAGAGGAGCTGGATGTGATATTCAGCGTATAAAACTAAAAATGATGATCCATTCAATCGATAAATACAAACGAGTCGATAGACATCAAAATTTAAAACTTTTATTCGCAAACCAATGAAGTGGACTGCAATCCATCATTGCCTTCGATCTTAGAGAATACTAACATGAACATAGAGAAAAACAAACGACAGAACATGACAGCTGGTGCCAGAGCAGGCATTATCACAGACACTGGCTTCATTGGAGTCAATACACTTTGCTGTGAAGACAATGCAGACAGGTCAACAAGAGATTTTCCATCCAATGAAGCCGTCTGTAATGACGCTGCCGGTTTAGGGTCTTTGCTTCCAACTCATATTTTTGTATTGTGTTCAAAGGATCATTTGTGTTCACCTGCTATGGCAAAGGATGGTAACACAAGAGGCAGGCTTCAGTGTCTAAGAGCTTTCACTTGAAAACTCTGACAATAATAAAAAAAAAAGACCAACCTAAACCAGCTGTCAAGTATAGCGTAACAAATAATAACCATACATTTTTTTATCGTTAATAAAATAAAATTCATTTGAGAGATTTGCCCATTAAGCAAGGTCCCTTCACATTAAGAACTAATAATTATAACTAATTCATTCCCATAAATCCATTGGTCTGCAAACTGTTTTCTTAAAGTTAAATCCAAACAGAAAGCAATAAACTATTATACAGGAGAGCCTTCTTTCAAACCACCACCAACAATAGGAACCAAATGCTTCACAGGAAAAGGACCTTCTGTTTGCTACAGTACATCTCAAGTCTGATCTATAACTTATTTCCTCATTGTTTGGGATTTTCTTTTCCAGACTAAGTGAACCACTAGATTAAGAAATAACACTTTCTGACCTAGAACTCAGCTAGGAAGTTTCATAGACGCAAAGCAAGCCTTCACAGGAGCACCACTCAGAAACCAAGTGAAATCATGACCATACTTTTAGTTTTTGTTAAGGCATTGAGTGTTTGACTGTCAGTCACCACTGCTCTCTGAGGTAGAGATGTGTCCTGGGTGAAGAACAGATGTTTTCATAAGCTCCCCAGCCAGAAAGGAGCCAGGTCTCAGCTTGTGAACACTTTGACAAACAGATACTCAAAGAGACGGACGGACGGACAGCATCCTCCGTCTGTCCGTCTGACACTCTGGGTTTCTTTGTGAGCTGGTGGGCAGAGAAAACCATCTATGGTGACTGGGAATAAAACACTCAGACGCAACTGGAAGGTTTGTACAACTATTAGCTTATCTTCATCATAAAGCTCGAAGGCGAAACAGGCTCATTACATGTTATCCTATCACCTCTGCGTGTGAAAAACACTTTCCCTTCGTTACCTTTGCTACATTTTTTCAATGAAACCCGTCTCCTTTTCTCCACGAGGGTCAATAACTTACTGCTCTTTAGCCTGAAAAAAAAACGATTAAAATACTGCAGTGTGATCTTTCGTATAAACATATAAATGTAACATTGAGTTTGATTCAAACGACCTTGGCTCAGCTCTCTAACGACTCACAGATGCTAAGAGAATTAGCACGGCTAGCTTGTGATATGTTTTTAAAATGATGTAACCTAAGAAGTGCTTTGGACGCTGAATGAAAATATTGACCTCGTTTTTTATTTATTCAAAGCTTGTAGCTGAATGCAACTAAAAAAAGGAGGGCATCATCAATACAACGAGCCAAACTAAAGCGGAGGAAAACAACTTAAAAACAAGAGGAATATTAAACTGAAGACATGAAATCATACGAAACCTTTGCATAAGAGTCAAAACAAAAGCAGCTTTCTATGGCCATGTTTGCTCAAAATAAAACCCAATTGCTTCCATTTTGGTTTTACAGTTTCTCTTGTCTCCTGTGTTTAAGGACTACAGATATCTGCAGTCAGCGAGATTTGTCCGTTCAGAGCGGCATGTAGGCAGCTCCGTGCAAGAGATATCCGGAACATTCAGAGAGGAGGTGTGCGGCAGGACTTTGGCAAAGTTTGACAAGATGATTTCTCAAGATTGGGTGTTGAGGTGGACTTGGTGGGACGGCAGCATCTGTTGTCCATGAAAACTGGGTAGCTGCTAAGGGGAAAGTTTGGGAGCACGAACCCTTGAGGGGACAGAGGTGCTCACATGGACTCAAACTCATCGATGCGCTGCTTCGTGTTGCCCGACCGGATCTGCCGCAGCGTTTTGTATTTGTCTCGGCCTGCTTTCACGTTCTCGGCGTGAAGCACGTCGTTCTGCGTCTTCTTGGTTTCATCTCTGGCATCGGCCAGCTCTGTGCTTAATGTCTGGAGGTAAAAGAGGGGGGAGGATGACAGCGCAGTGAGGATGAGGAAACAAAAGAATAGAAAAACCAAAGAGACATGGAGGTTGCAGAAGAGAAAAGCGAAGAAACGGGTGCAGAAGAGCAAAATACGCCTAAATAATTAAAAAGTAAAAAACATCTGATTGACGCAAAGCCACTTATTTACAGCCTCAGGTTGTGTGGCAAAACGGGTTTAACAGGAATAAATAAATCCTTCGAATGAGGTGCAGCAGTTACTTTAACATTTAAAACCCTGAAGAAGAGGTCGTTTTAAGACAAATATGTGACCGGCTCCATCGAAATCAGTCGCGTTACCCCGAAGACACATTTTGAGTCGTATACACCGTTGGAAAGAGGAGATTCCTAGCTTTCTAATGATATCAGGATTGTTGTTGTACTCCAAATATTAAGCAAAATATGTCACATTATATAATGACTGTCACCGAGTCATCATTTTGAGAAAAAGGCCTTTAAAGTTTCCTCTTCTCTGGAATCCATCGATCTGATTGGTTATTAGCAAATGATCAAAATACTACGGAGGGAAGATATTTTCGTTTGGATTACTGGTCTGGGGGAAGCTCGCGAGTGTGTGTGTGTGTGTATACGTGTGTGTGTATTGTGTTTGTTTCCCGGGGAAAACAGCGGCTGTTGTTTTGCCTGCTGTGACGTTAAGTTACTCCGTTCTCCGCTTGTAATTATGCCGAAGCTTCAAAGCTGTATTTATCATCTGAATTTGCTGAAACAAGTTTAATATTCTGAAAGCCAAGACTTTGTTTATTTGAAATCAGATGAAAACAAACTGTAACGGACCCTGCCGTGTTATCTATGACGACTACACGCCTTACATTCATAATGTCAGCCGGAGGGGGGGGGGGGCGCTGCGGAACAGCAGGGTGCGAGGGAGCTTCAAACATTTATTTATCGTGTGATTTAGGAAATAAAAGTTTCATATTCTGAAAGCCAAGACTTTGTTTATTTAAAATCAAACAAAACACCAAACCCCGAAAAAATAGTTTTTTACGCAAATCTACGTTTATTTTGAAATGAGCCGTTGCGACTTCCGACTGATTTCGATAGAGCGGGTCACACATGTCAAATATTTGAGTTTGAATTCTTCTTGCCATAGCTTCAGTACAAGTCCTGGGTTATGCTGTAGCCTAGCTCAGATCTACAGGGACTGTTACTTAAAGTTCAGAAAGGTTTGAGAAGATGTTCTTGATTGATAGCAGTAGATCTTCTTTGAAGCCAGGCTACAGTCTAAGCCAGCACGCTGACTCCTGTTAAAGCAGGAGTTTAAAGGATGGACAGAGAAGGATGCCTCGTCTTACCCTGATCTGCCATCGCTTGGCTGGTGTCTCTTCCTTGCAACAAAACTGCTGTTAGAAAATAATATCATCTGGTTGTTATGTGTGCCGTCTTTTGGCTAAATGAACCGGAAGAATTTCACTCGAGTTTGAAGTTATACAGAGTTTAATTAAATGTTGGGGATGACATTTCCTAGATTGTATTTGTGATTTTTACGGATTTAATTTGAGAGTGGAATCTTTGGAAAAGTAGCATCTAGAATATTATATTTTTCAAGGGATTTTGCAATATGACAAAAGTGTGCAGCCTTTGAAAAGCAATGATTGCGCCCCCTAAAGGATTTACACCCCTTCTCACCTGCAGCTGTTTCTTGACCCTCTCGTTCTTCTGGGCTTCGGTGACGCGAGCCTCTTCACTGCGGAGGTCGAGCTGGCTGACGCCCTCCATGAATAAGTCGGCACTGGCTTCCTCGTTGATCTCATCGTGCTCGTCCTGGTCGCTCTCGTCGTTGTTGTCCAGAGGAGCCGGCACTACAGTCATCGCTGTCTTCAGCTCCTCCTTGGTTTTGTCCAGGTCCTCCTGGGCGGACAGAGCCTGAGGGGGAAGACACAGAAAGAAAGACATGGTTGAATGTCTGGGGACATTTAAGGAAGCTAATGTTTGTAGCAGTCTTGTACCTTGTGCTGCCACTCTACGGCCTCTTCATCCTTCTTCTTCTTGGCTTCTTCCAGGAGAGCGATCTTGGCTGTGAATTCAGCCAGTTCAGCAGCCTGGGATAAATCAAAAAAGGCCCTCAATGTTAGAGAAACTGTACATTTAAACACTTCAACGACTATATATGTCGTAGCTGCTACATTGTACTGCCATGTGGTTAATGCTTGTATGCTGCTCATGCTCTTCTTAAATGTTGTATGTGACGGGACTACGGATGGAAATTAGCTCAAAGCTAAAATCCGGCTCATTTACACTTGTAAGCATTATTTTGTTTTAAAGTGTTCATCAATGTGAACTGTCCCGATTCAAATTGTGCAAGCAGAAATGTAACGATGTCCACATAAGCCAGGGTGACTAAATAAAACCAACACACACCAGTTGTTCCTGGGTCTTCTGCTGGTCTGCAGCCTGCCTGGCCAGCTCTGCTTTGGCCTCCTCCGCTGCATGTCTGTCTCTCTCCAGCCTCTCGGCCTCCTCCCTCGCCCTTTTTCTCTCCTGCTCCAGCTCCATGGCGCGGCGAGTCTGCTCCTGGAGCTCTGTGAAAGGAAAAAAAAACACGTCACATCTTTTCTAGTTAACTTTAATCTCCTACAATTCAAATTCAAAGGTTACAGGTTGAGTGCGGTTCTGTTGAGTCGGGTACATAAATCTGAAGTGAGGGGGCATTTACAAAAAAGGTTTGATGCTTTTTTTATTATTTAAATGTAGCGGTGATCAAGGTTAAAAATAACCAGAGAAATGAAAGTGAATTCTCTTGGAGGGTGGACTTGATAGGCTCTCTAGTTTGGAAGACATAAGGAGGGGAAAGTAAGGTAGCAGCAAAGAGGACGGATGGATACAAAAGAAAACGTTACCTTTCTGAGCTCTCATCGTCTGCTCTTCAATCTGCCTCAGCCTGTCCATCAGCTCCTCTTTCTCATGCTCTATCCTCTCCTTCTCTTTCTCTGCGTACTCTCGCTTCTTCTTCTCATTCTCCAGCTGGGCCCTGAGAAGTTTGGCAATCACATGTTTCAGATTTGATGAGTATATAAAAAAAAAAGGGGAGAAAACCAATATATTTGTACAATAACAGAATAAAATACAGAGAAACACAGCACTTCTCCCGCCCTGAATGAGAGCTCTTCTGGTGCAGATGATGAACGTGATAGAGGCAAGAAAGCCCAGTGCACTTATTATTTCAAACTTATTTGAGTATGCCTAAAAACAGCAAACTTCAATACATAAAAACATCTATAAAAATGTATTATGGTCTGCAAAAAACACTATTTTACATTTCTTTTCCAGAATTATATCAGGGGGTCAAACTCAAATACACAGTGGGCCAAAATAAAAACATCGGTACAAGTCGAGGGCCGGACTGCGAAACTTATTGAAATTAACTCATTGCTCAAACCTGGAACTAACAAAGCTTAAATGATTGCCTATGAAAACAACATTAAATAATCAGTTGCATTCATTTCTTATGGCTCTATCTGCAGCTTTTCCCCAAGTACATTTCCCCACAGGCCAACAACAGCTTTAAAAAAACTATTCCCCTCAAAGAAAACCCAAACATGCCCTGTTGTCGTGAGAGAAAGTGCAGAAGGAAACATCCATTAAACTCAGTGTGCTGCTAGTTCAGATACTTGGCATCTCATCTTGGGTGCAAGGTCATCAATGTTTGGGCTCAGGCTCTGAGCTGAGGAGACCCTCAGGATGGAGTGAAGGTGTGCGTGCAATATACCGGAGGGCCAGATCTAATAGTAATTATCCTGTTGTATACACAGTATTCCAGAGCAGTACCTCTCCATCTGTTTGTGGTGCTTCTCCTCCCGGGCCTGAGCCTTCATCTGCTGCACCTCGATGGTGTCGGGCTTCCTCCTCCTCATGTATAGCTCGTGGTTACCCATACACAACGCCAAGATGCGCTTGTTGATGCGCAGTCGCGGGGCATAAAACACAAAGTCCTGCATGTTTTAAGAAAGAGCGGAAAGAAAATATATCCTTTAATGGGAGGCAGGACTTTTTTTTTTATCCCTGGAGGTCCAATTGTTACACTTTTAATGGACGACACTCACAGGAGCTTTCTTGTCAATGGGTTTGATGACAAACTTCTTGTCATTGAAAGAGATGTTTCGAATTTCACTCCAAGGGAAGCCGATCTTTGGTGTCAACCTGAAAAATAAATGTCCAAATGTACACATTAACATCTCAACTAATGATATACAGTTCAGGGTAGGGGTGGGCGATATTGAAAAATATAATATCACGATATTTTTCAAGCAGTATCACGATAGACGATATTGATCACGATATTTTTTCATGTCGGTTATTATGGTTATTTGTCAAGTTACTTAACAATACAACCACCTACAAGGTAACACAAACTAAAATAAAAAGAAGTCACAGACCAGAATACCATTTCAAGCTGGTTTTGATTTTGCAGTGAATCCCTGAATGAACAATTCAACAGGAATGTTGATATGGCTTCCTCAGTGTTCAAGTAGGTAGGCCTACACAACACAACAACTACACAACTAACGTTAACACTGGTTTCTTCACCAAGTAAAGTGCACTCTCTTGCTAAATAAAATACAAATATTCAAGGCACAGTTTCTCAGTATAAAAATGCACTTTCTGCTTTAGGCAGCACTAGCAGTGATGTAACATCAATACACATGAAAAGGAGAGTACAACATAACTAAGTAAAACCTCAATGAGGAAAAGTCAGTGCCAAACAATTAAAATGTAAACTTTAGACTTGAAGTGCAATCAAAGACTTTAACATAACTGAACATCTGTTTAAAAAAACACAATATAAATACCTTAATGATAAAATAAAATACAAGCCAACAGAATCAATCAAGACAATAAATGAAGTGCAATACTGTCTGAATCCTGACAGCTTGGTTTTTACTAACCGTTATCAGTATGTAGTTACTTCGGCATCATTTTTAAACGTGTATTACAATTAAATCACGGTAAAATAGGTTAATTTGGTCGTAGTTTCCACCACAGTATTTACATGGATATAAGCCCCGCCCCCTCTCCAGCGCGTCCTGTTTGAGTGACAGGAGTAAACACAGCCGACAGCCACGGTGAAACTCCAGAGGTTAGGGTGAGAATATTCGCATTGCCTCGGTTGTGAACGCAGCATAATGCAGTTCAGAAATCACGTTGACGCTTTTAAAGCAATTTCGAGATGTTAACAGTATCAGGGGCACGCAGGCCATGGTAGCCGTAGGACATACAATTATTTTTCGGGGCTTCACGGCCAGACCGAGGGGCAATGACGTCATGGCCGCCGTGAAAATCCTACCCTGGTGCACTATCACGATAGATATGATATCTCTGAAAAGGCATATCGTGGAGACCTAATATCGTCTCGACAATATATATCGTCATATCGCCCACCCCTAGTTCAGGGTGACGGATAATAGGTTGTATTATATCCATTCTAATACCCAGCCAACAGATGGGGCCTGATATGAACAGACAGGAAATCACGAGACAGAAAACTCGTTCAGTTCACGTTTCAAACTTCAGTTAGATTTTCTCAGTCACGTGGTTAAGAATAGTGACAGGAAAGAGAAGTAGGTGGATAAAAGTTATCGTTTCCTGCCAGGAATTCAAATCGAAACGAAACAAAGAAAGGAAAAGAGAGAAATGAAGTGATGAGGATGTTGCTGTCTAAAGAGACAGTTAGAAACTATCCTTTACTTCCTTTCTTTGTAACCTGGAGAAGACAAGAAAGATGGCAGTTGTGAGGACCTCAGATAACGAACAGGAAGGGAAAGGCAGTGAGAGGAAATGCGGCAGGAGTTGTGATCGAATCTGTCTTTTCCTCTACAAGACATTTAGAAAGGACAGGAAAGACTCTCCTACAATGGACAGAGACAGTCTTCCTCTCCTAGTTATTAACGCTAAAAATATCTGTTTCCTCTTGTTGGACATTATGCATCTCATGTTGACATCGTGGTATTTTTTGGCAATTGGGTAGTATCAGATTTAGGGCCATTGATTGTCCTGATTTGACTTGTTTCCAAAAGTTCGGCCAAACACGAAGAAGGAGTCTGCAGGAGGTGACTTTAGTTCTTAAAAAAAAACCTATAAAACTTTGTTTCACTTGCAATAAAAAGGGAGGTGGGGTACAGCAAAAGGTCAGGATAAGACTGAAACAGAAAGCATCATTTATTTTGTAAATAAATTAGATAAATCTGTGTGTGTCCCTTACTTGTCTTCGTGTTCGTAGATATTGAGGCCAAGGGCATCCACGCCCAGCCACAGCTGTGTGCCCTTTTTGTTTTTGATCTCAAAGTAGTTGACTCCGTACATCTCCAAGTCCTGGGCGATTTTAAGATATTCCATCATAGAGTCCTCTCTAGAGAGAAAGAAATACAGGGTATGTTTTACAAGAACACTTCCATATTAACATCAGTGAAATAATCTAGTCCATAACGATTTTTGGTTTATAAAGCACCGAATTCAATACCTTGGCCTAACAACAAGCCTAAACATGCACATTCAGATAGGAAATAGTTAGCTTTCCAAACGATGAGAGACACACCTGAGCATTCCTCTGTGTTCTTCATGCCAGGTCTGTATTCTGTCCTCCCACTGCTCTTTGGTAAGCTTGTGCTGCTCCAGGACTCTGAACACAAACACAAACACAATGACTTCACCCGAGGGGATGTTGAGCAGCACACAATTGTTTCCTGCGAGGAAAATTCCAACAGGGAACGAGACAAATTCTAGGTTTCAACAAATCTGCTCCATGGAAATCTTTGGCTAAAGCGTATAAGATGCTACATATTGTGTGTGCTAGTACCTCTGAGGCAACAGTCGGTCGTGGGTTAGGTACCCAGCCTTGTGGACATCTTTGTTGTAGTCTCCATACTTGGCCTGGACAGAGTACGACGCCAGAAGCACGGCAGTCTCTGGAGGACAGTAGTTCTCATCGTTCAGAATAGCCTCCTTCACCTGGCAGAACACGAGGGAGTTCAGTACTTAAAATGGACTCATTTAAAACAATCAATTTGATGGAAACCTGACTAAGGATTGGCTCAGTACCTGCAGGAAGAATAACCTCTGTGTGATCTCCTGGATTAGCTCCTCCGAGACGTCCTCAGGGAAGAACTTGGCTCTGAACTTAAACTGCAGAGGGTTCTCCTTCTTCACATCCTGCTGAGTCACCTACAGGAGAAAAACAGCAGCAGCGTCAAACCACCCATTAACCACAGGAACCCTACATCATCTCAAATGATGCTTGTGACTTTTATTAGAGTGCAGAATTTGGTTATCCGTCACATAAAACATTGGTAACATATTGCGTTTTTTGGGGGCTGTATGTCGACAGTTTTTGCCCACACTTCTATAGAATCGTTTTCACTAATTCTGTCTGTACCTGCTGCTCTCTCTCACACACATATTTTCTGTCAGGCCTACCCGGAAACACACTGCAATAGCATGGGTGTTAAGGCGAGAGGTGTGTAGGGTGATGAGTGAGAGAGGAAGCCTGTTAAAAGATCACATCTGAGGCTCCAGACCACAACAGAGCTTCAGGGCAAATCCCAGATAAATAACAGACAACGACTGGATGATAAAATATCCTGACAAAGGGAGACAGACAGATAAAGAAGACATTAAAAGAGCAATTCAAATGTCAAATGAAAGCGGAGGAAGACTGACCTTCTTGTTGAGTTTGAGCCAAGTGCTGTAGCCTTTACTGTCCACATACTGCAGGCCGAAGAACCAGACCTCCCGTAGTCCCACCGTCTTCACCACCTGACAATAACACACACATTTCAATCTGAATTCTTAGGTACTTTTATAAAAAGGAAATGGTTGACAAGAGATATTACGGTGACATCACGGCTAACCATCAGGACAAGACAAAGCAGCCGCCTGTGGACATTTGTCAGTCATGCTCACCTGGTCAAAGAGCTGTTTCCCTGTAGTATTTGGTTGGATGGCAAACTCCAGCTCTGCATCCATGGTGGTCACACGGACATTGATCTGGAAAACCAACAACAACTACATTGTTTACCATGTTGGTTGCGATATAGCACAGGCAATGATTTTGAAGAGAGATACAGCACTGCAGTCTTGGCGTTGTCATCATTAGTTTTCTTCAGTGTTTAGTTTAATGTGGGGATGAAAAACCGTACAGCGTTTTGTTTAAGGCGAGACACTACAGGTGAATAGGGTACTTTTTTTCACTTAAATATATCAGCTATACATTTCTCCAGTTAATTACTTACATTAAGACAATGTTTTTTGTATTACAAGTGTTATGAAATAGCATGTTTAAATATGCAAATGAGCCATCTCATAAAAAATGCGCATATTTTAATACATTTCAGGAACACAAATCTGAACATTGGATAAAGCCAGGTTCAAAATGATTGTTTCATTTTGTAGTCAAATTAGAATCAAAAGTTTTTAAAGAAGGGATTTTGGATCTCTCTTTTTATCACTGCATAAATCAGAAAATACTGTCAACAGCCCTAAAATATCAATTTTCGCCATTTTTATAGGTATAACATGTTATATAATTCAGGCTATGATAGATATGAACAAACCCTTCTGTAGAAACCTGCAGAATATTGATAGGAATATAACTGGAAGGTTTGGTGTATGTACGTGCTACTGATGTGGGCATTTCTCACTCATTTTGAGAAAACGACCTTTAAAGATTGCAGTGAGGCGCTAGCTAAACCCTCCTGTTCTCTGGATGACAGCTTGCGCCTCGACGCACTCCGTGAAGGTATTTCATGTTCGGGGTCATTTGTGTTTTATATAACCTTGCTTCGTGCAAGTGACAATTGTTGTCGTCTTCTCTGTGAACGTTTTTTTCACTGTTCTTTTGCCATTTTGAGATTTCAATTTCTAGCGGAAAGCTAACCAGGAAGTGTTTTAGCACACCACGTGACGCATCTGAACGAATCACGTTGTCAGAAATTGACACCAGCCAATGAGATTTCGTTTCTTGGTTTAAGACCCCTTTGTGCTTTCACGATTGGTTGCTGATACAAAGGAAATGACCATATTTGGATCCGATGAGATTGTGCAGGAGAGACGGAGCTTTCCAGCGATACCTCTGTTGACATGGTGCACACAGCGGTCGCGGTACTTTATGTTACGTTAGAATGCTAACTTTTGGTGAATTTAGGAGAAATCTACAGACGCAAATAGACAAACTATAGTAAAATAAACACTTAAATGTGTATTTTGTACGTTTTCCTTCCAAAAGCCTGAAAGAAAACATGTTATGGAATCAAAATAGCACAAAATCTCAAAATTGACCAGTGCATGAAAAACGATGTTTTTGCCTGCCGTGTCTCGCCTTAAACTAGTAAATCGAATAGCCGAATACGCCAGGGATAATCACTGCCATACTAAAATATTATAATTCCCACCTCAGCTTTGAGCTCATTACTATTAGTGCTTTTTTTTATAATCTCGACTAAGCATCCACTAATCTCCATCATCAATCAGATGACTGGTAGTGAACAGTTTGCGTTTTGTGCTCAGTAAATGTGTCTTCCTTCGATATAAAGACAGATTCAGCAAAGGGACTGTCAAATGGCATCACTTTCCACCCTACACTGCCAGAGGAAGTAAGCCCCACCTTTGATGGCAGCCCACTACTCTGTTGGGGTGGAGCAGGGGATACAACTCAGTCATTGGCTGAACAGCGGCGGCAGTAGGCCAGCAGCAGCTGATGGCACAGAACAGAGCGAGGCTGATCTCGAGGCATCTCACATCCTTCCTCCCACACGTACACACACACACTGAGCTGTAAGTAACTCAATAAGATGGACAGAGGGAACTGCAAGTGGCAGAAATGAGAGTGCTAGTTAGCAGAGAAAAAGCAGGCAGATTGCAACAGGAAGCAAGAGAGATGATCTAGGGTGCGCTCACTTTCAGATTGAGTTACAGTGAGGTTTCTGTAGATGAGCCAACCATACAGAAATAAAGGGAAAGTAAGCAACTGAGGATAATAATCTTTCCTTTAAATATACACAAAACCTCAGGAAGCTTTTTATTCCCTCCCTCTCCTCTAAGTATTTCTTTACTTTCTCTCCCGCCGTCATCCTTCTCCGTTTCTCTCAATATCCCTGCGATGAATAATCCATGTAACTTGTGTCTATACCGCACATAGCTGGACTCCCCCGCGCCACATAGAGGCAGATACATTGTGGTCTGAGCTCTGTCTCCCACTCATTAATTACCCATGAAAAAGTTGTAGCACTTTCTCTACACTATATACATCTCACATGAACATGAGTTTGGCCTTAAACTATTACTGTAACGTACATTTTACAACATTGTTTTAAAACGGTATCCCACGCACTCATAGGCAGCTGCCCGGGAAAAGAGATTTAACCGACTGAATAATTGTATTCTGCCTTCAGTCGGGTTACATTTTGTATTAATGAAGTGCTGTTATTTTAGCTTAAGATTCCACTAAGGAGTTTTAGCCCACATCAAGATAAATGCCGAATCTATGTGATAAAAAACAAACATGATGGCTTTTCAATGTGAACAGTTCTAAATACTGTCAAGTGTTTGATAACCTTCATAATTAAATCAAGTCCCACTCTGAGATTGGAGTATAAATGTTGTTTTTGTGCGTGATTATGAGGTGCTTTATGGAGGAAAAGGCACTCTACACCAATGACACCCAATAACATAAGCTGCTTATTACAACACAGCCCTGTCACCATCATTTCAATAAGGTTGCCGAGGATACGGTTACATGATAGAACATGAGCTACTGCTATCAGCTCTATAGTTAGTTTCACTAAAAATCAACACAGATTGTGGATCATTATTCATGATAAAAAGTCAACAGGTGTATAACCGGTACATGTGAAGGAATATTCTACACAATTAATAAAATAACAAGATCACTGCTGCCAGTTTCATACATGACCTGAATAATACTTAATACGAGTCTTTCAACCAAGAGGCACTATTACTTGGAAAAGCAGCAAGCCGGGTTAGTAAGTGTTGACACCTCCGCCCTTCTCTTTTCACACTGATTGGAAAAATGGGTCTTCCCTTGAGATATTGTTTACTACATGCGGGTGTCTCTATGGCAGGGAGTAAACAGACTGTGTTTCTCTTTAACCTCTGATGAGTCACTGATAGTTACAGCTGCTACAAGAAAAGCACAGGCTTAAAGTATTGCCATGGTATGTACGGACAAGAGTTACAGCGATCACCTCATGGAGCGATAACAGCATTTAACAACTCTTCACAGGGCTGTAATTAATGCATTTCTATCAGATTTGCATCCAGAAGGATTTGAGATCTGAATGGGAATATGGCATTTTAGGGGCTTTGCTCTTTAGTGTACATTTTAGGGAACAAATTCCATCAAAGTACAAGAAATTAACCGAACTACTAGAGTAACATGTAAATCCATTATTGCAAGTTCATGGTTGACTGACTGGTGTGTAACAACCAAGTTGCTTTCAATACTATGCGCCTCATTGACTTTCTGAGAGGAGTAGTCGTAGACAATGTTGTGCAGAGCTGGCGTTTCCGAGTGACCGGCCTTGAATGTCCCTTCTCCCCTGCATGAGTGTGTGTGTGTGTGTGTGTCATCAGCAATCAGCTGTGAAAGAGGCAACCTTTGTGCTGCATGTGTGTCACTGCCAAAACACAGACAGGGAGAGGAGGAATCCTGTACGGAGCAGACGGTCAGCTAATCCCGTCTCTCCTGCAGAAAGGGGGGGGGAGGAGGAGAGGGACGACATGCCGAGGCAGTGACACAGCTAATCACACACTGCGACAACTGAGCAGTCTGCGAGACTGTCCTTACACCACATTCTGGGTGTTTCTCAATGTCGAGTAAAGCTGCTCCAGAGCCACTATTTCAAGCATACTACATCGAGTGCCGCCGAAGTACTGTTCCAATGTCCAGCATACTTGGAATTCTACCGAGCCCGGCGTACTTCGTTTGGAGAAATTTCGAGGCTGCACATGTGTAGACTCCGGTCTTAAAATCCCCACAATGCTTTGCGCACCGACCAATTTCCCCAAATCTGTGGCGGGAAATGTAAGGCTCTCATATGACGCACACCTGCTCGCCTGTTCCACTCTTCGTTTTCCGAATGCCAAAAAGTATTCTTGCCTCGCTTCTGAAGCAAGTGACTCGGAAGACATGTGCTACCAAGCAAGCGTACTCGACATTGAGAAACACCCTCCGTCTGGTGATACTGGAAGCACACAACTACTGGGAAAGATGACAAAATGTCTCTTTGTATTGGGAACAAACTAAGAAGCGAGGAAGTTTGCTTTTCTACTGAGAGCACAGCGTCCAAAAAAAAGAGTATTTCTCCACAATTTCCATATTTTTTATGAATTTTCAATATGCAACTTATTTTAAATGTTTTGAGCACAGTGACTAGATGTTTGCAGCTAATTTAGATGTAGTAGATGTTTGTATGGCTCTACTTTAGTCAGTGCAGTAGTATAGTACATTCAGTACTGTGGCCAATCCCCACAGGAGCAATTTGGGGTGAAGTGTCTTGCCCAGGGACACAACGACATGCTGACTGCAGTGGGACTCGAACTTGCTACCCCCTGATTTGAAGTCTAGCACATTATCCACTGAGCCACAGCCTCAGGGAAAACATCCGTCTCACTTACTCCCTCTCTGGGACTATTTCACACAGTGTTTCCTATTTTCTACATTACGCTATAATTTGCTCTAACCAGCGTTTCTGCCAGGGGGGCGTCTTGCCGTCACGCCCTGAACTCGAGCCGAGGGCGTCCAAAAAATTTTATAATTCGAGAGAAGATCGAGAGTTTTTATCGCTTGAAATGACCAAAAGGAAAAAGGACAAGGACATCCCTCTGTTGGAGGGGCAAAGGAGTCTGGTGGGATTCTTTTCGCCGCCAGCAAAGCGTGTTCCTGTGACGGAAAGTGTACTGCCGGCGAGCCTTGACGGGGGGTGCGAGTGGAGCACGCGTGTGAACTGCGAGCGCCGGAGAATCACAGC